TGGGTGGTGGCTGGTGCTGGCTGCACAGTCTGAGTTTTGTACAGGCAGGTCCTGCACCTCACTGGTCCTTACTTAAGCTGTAATGACTCCAGTTATTATCTCAATTCTGCACCATTTTGACAGAAATATTTTTACAGCCAACACACAGTACTACAGCTGGAGCTTAAAACAGAAAACAAATGTTTTGCTGATAAAATATGCAGGAACGTGTTCCAGTGAACAGATGACTCTAAGTTTTATTAAGGTAAGCATCCCACTTATTACTGACAAAAAGGTATTTTTTTAAAAAGATTGTGCTTAGGAAGAGGACCCATCCCGTAGGATGCAAGGTGCCTTCCCACTGGAGTGCCTGAGTCTGCTGTGGATATTTCCACAGTTGTGCCTGTTAAATGTTTCGGTGAGCCCAGGATGCAGCTGAGAGTGTTGGGTTGAGGATTCTTGCTGACCTGCAGGACTGAGCTTTGATTCAGGTTTACTGTGTGATCGTTGGGTTTCCTTTCTGTTCCACCTTGTTGCCTGCAGGTGAGAATATTTTCCTTTCTCCCTTCCAGGGGCAGAGGACGTGACTTTTGACCACACGAGAGCAAACGAGCGCTTGGCCCTCACAGCCCAGAACAGCCGAGTGGTGGTTTCCAGCCACCCCACCTGGTATGAACCAGCTCCCAGGAGATTCTGCATCAGCCAAGTGATGTGTTCCCAGAGCTTCTCCACGGGGTGCCACTACTGGGAGGTGATTACCAAGGACAGTGATGGATGGGCTGTTGGAGTCGCTCATGAAATGATTGGGAAGAGGGACAAATTGGGAAGAACAGAGCATTCCTGGTGCGTGGAATGGCTGGGTTCCAAAAAGCAGCTGTCAGCCTGGCACAAGGATCAAGAAACATTGTTACACAAGGATAAACCGCTGAGGGTTGGGGTTTTCCTGGAGCTGCAAAAGCAGACAGTGTCCTTTTACTCCATCACTGACAGGGAAATGCTCTTGCACACCTTTGAACTCAGCACCTCCCATCCTCTCTATCCTGCCTTCTGGCTGTACAGCCTGGAAAGAAATGGATCTTTAACTCTAAGCCACCCAAACAGGAGATAAAGCCTATTCAGAAAAGGGACCATTTTGCCAATGACTGCAGAGTTTCTATCCAAGCTTCAGTGTTTAGCACAGGAATCTACAAAGGAATGCATAGCTACCCAGGATTTCCTGGGAATCAGCAACTTTTGCCTGCTCTGCTTCTCTCCATGCTGTGCTCTGGTCCAGCCATACCTCAGTAGAGCAATTCCAGTGTCTGCTGAAGGCAGGAACCATCCCTGTGGAGATCAGGTGGATTTCTTAAGCAGCTTTAAGTAGCCCCAGGATATTCCTGGGAAGGAATGCACCAAGGAAGCTCTAAGGCTGGGGATAAGCCTTGCTCATGGACCTTATTTTTCCTACATTGATCTAAAAAAATACAGAACAGATGATGCCATTACTTTCTGTCAAGTGAGCTTTCTTTGGAAAGATCTGAGTGAGTAAGGAATGCTCAGAGGGCAAGAATGTTACTGGTCTCAGGCATGAAAATCTTTCTCTTTAGATACTAAACTGTTTAGAAACTAAACAGGAAATAGGCTTTGTATTTGAGGACCTGCCACTTTGGGTCCCAGAAGATCATCTCACTGGCACTGTATTTTAGTCTTGCCCCCACCAAAGGGTTTTTTTCAGTCCTGGTGGTGGTGTGACGACAGGAATGGTTGTGGAAGCAGATGCTCAGATGTGTTTATACCAGCTAATAAATCATGCAGTCACTTTATTGCTCTTTTAAGGGGCCAGCAAACATGACTGTGTCATGGAAAGGACCATCTTTTCTTGCCAGGGAGCCTGAGACAAGGCAAGAGGTTCTCAGTTGTCCCTGTGGGGTCCTGGAAAACCTACTGACAGCTGGATTTCTGAGAGATCCACTGCTTCATGCAGGCAAGCTGAAAACAGCATTCTCAAGAAGCAAAAGCTCTTTTAGGGAGACAGGAGCATTCCAGAATGAACAAAATGAGTAGTTTAATGTGAAATAAAGCATGTGGGATTCAACTATCTCATTTAGTGGAATGGGGAGCTCCATGGCTTTTAAAGCCATTGACAGAACTGCTGGACATCTTGAGGGTTACTCTGTGCTGTCACTGAACACTCTGAGAGCACTTTGGGCAGAATGCACATTGGTAAGATCCCAAAGGCATGTGTATCAGCTTTTCCAAGGCTGGGGCAGCTCTCCCAGTGTAGCTAATGCCACTGCCTCGTTAGGGTTGAGATGTCCTCTCCTGGTCCACCTGGAAAAGCAACAGTGACAGCGTGAACTCACGGGCATCTCTAATTTCCCACATACAAGTTGCACTGCATTGCCCGGGGGCAGCAATTTGTTACGGTTTGGATCCCAACAACACATGTAATAACACACATAACAACACACAGCTTGGATGGGAGCACTTTGTGTCACTCCCGGGACATCAGGAAGGATTTTTTCACCGAAAGGGTGATGAGACATTGGAAGGGGCTGCCCAGGGAGGTGGTGCAGTCACCATCCCTGGAGGTGCTCAAGGACAGAGACTGGACATGACTCCAAGTGCCAAGGTCTGGTTGACAGGGTTGGACCCAATGATCCCAGAGGGCTTTTCCAACTGAACTGATGCTACAGTTCTGTGATTCCTGATGTGCTCCGAGCGCTGGGCTGTCCCTCACAGCACCCCGGACCCTCATCTCTCTGAGGGCACCGAGCCAGGGCAGCGCTGCTTTATCAGACTTCTTTATCACTGTATTCTGTGGTATGAAGGCCCACGGCCTCTGGGGTTTGGTTGTTGGTTGTTTTTTTTTTAAAGGATATGTTTTTACCCTGTCTGAAGTGTCACAGTTCAGAGAACAACCTGTCATCTGCAGGAAATCTCTTTAGAAAATTAAAAGTGAGCACGGCTATTTGCTGGGCTGTTTTACTGAACAAACACTGCCAGCTGCACCAAGAGCATTTTACGAGACACTTGTCACCTTGTGAACCTCTAAGTTCACAAAGACAACAGGAAATCCGACTGCAGAGTGACAGGGAGAAGTGGTTGGAGTTTCTTCCGCCTCACAGCAGATTCCTGCACCAACACAAGGCATCTTCCCCTCTCTGAGGGCACAGACCGGGGGGAACCAGCACACGGACCATGCACCTCCCTGAGGGCACAGACCGAGCCGGGGCAGCGCTGCCCCGGGAGGAACCAGCACACGGAGCCCCCACAGACCGAGCCAGGGAGCGCCGCCCCGGGAGGAACCAGCACACAGAACCCGCACAGCCCCCGCCGGGTGAGCGCAGCCCCGGCCGGAGCCGCCTCCCGCGGTCCCCGCGGGGCCCTGAGGGGCGGCCGCCCCCGCCCCGCGCAGCCGCCGCGCAGCCGCCGCCGCGGGTCCCTCGCGAGCCGCCGTAGCTCCGTGAGGGGAGCCCGGGCAGCCGAGGCCCAGCGGCGCCGCCGCCCCGCCCGAGGTGAGCGGCCCGGGCCGGGCAACGAGCGCGGACATGAAGAAGGACGTGCGGATCCTGCTGGTGGGAGAACGTGAGTGAGGCAGGGCCCGGGCGGGGCGGGGGCCGCCGGCTGGGCTGTCACATCAGTGCCGCGGGGCTCAGCCCGGCCCGGGCGCTGCGGGGCAGAGCAGCGCCGGCCCTGAGGGGCGGGCGGGGGTCGGGGCTCCGGGACCGCTCCGAGCTGTCCCTCGGCTCCCCGAGCCGGGCAGTTCGCGGAGCTGTGCGGCTTGGACGCCCCTGGAGATGACACCGGGGGGAAGAGGTTCCTGACCGGCGTTTGGCAAGAATTTGGCCTGTTCAAAGTTATTTTCTTTTTTTTTTTTTTCCCCGCTTTTCCCCTTTATTTTTCTCTTTTCTTCTCTCTTTTTTCCTTCCCCGCCCCCCTTTTTTTCTCCTTTTCTTTTTTTTTTTTTTTTCCCCTGATGAAAACCCAACTCGCATCTTTCCTGTTTTACTGCCTTTGGAAATCAGTGGCCTGACATTCTCCAGCCGGTTATGTATATGTATATATATACGTTGTGGATTTGTGCCCAGGGACCCCACATCCCCTTTTCCTGCCTTTCCCGCACTGTATGACCTTGGATAAACAGCACGAACGTGTGCGTGCCGGAGGTACCGCGGGGCCGGGTTTTCTCCTGTGCTCCCAAAAATCACGTCCTTAAGTTCTCACTGAGGTGCCCAAATCACCGGCAAGGCTTGCGGAGACACGGCTGCTCACCGGTGCTCACGGCAGCGAGGAGGTTCTGCTCCGGTAGTTTGCAGAGTGAGCTTAAGTTCCTCACGGGGAAAGAATAGAGAGTAATTACCAAGTGTTATTAGTAAAACTGGCTAATTATGCTGAGAATGTGGTGCTGCTGACAAGGCTTTCCTAAGTACTGAATGCCCCATATATATATATTTATAGTGCAGTTTTTGCAGTTTTATAGTTCAGGGTGGCTTTGTCTGTGCTGCCTGGAAAGATTCTCTGTGGCTTCTCCAGAGAGGAATCTTCAGGGAGCTGCCACTGTGCAGAAGGAGCTCACTCACTGAGATTGCACTTGGTTAGTTTTACATGACTCTTTTAGGAACGTATTTGTGCATTTGAATACACAGTTTAATTCCTCTTTAGAATATGTGCCTAATTTACCTCATTTACCTGGGTGCTGAACTAGTTCCGTGCAGTGGTTTCAGCACAGGTGTAACAGGTGCTTTGTTTTGACAGCAACGTATCCAAGTGGGAATTTAAAATGTAAATTTAAATATAGCAATGGCACACATCAGAGATTGTAAGCATCTCTGTATTGTGTTTTTGGTGGACTTGCAGCAAACAGAAGGGAGAGATTTGTTTCACAAATCAGTAGAACTTGTCAGTTATAGTGTCAGTGCTGCTTTGTATCCTTGTCTCATGTATATTTGTTAGTCTGAAACCACAAGTTAGTCCAGACCATCTAAAACTTGTTAGGTGGTAACAGCAGACCATCAGGTTCAGGATGTGTGAAGAACTGTTATTGTAAGCCTGTTCCAAAACAGCCTTTTCATGCCTTGTCTTCTACAGTTTAGGTCTAAGGTTGTTTTAGTCCTTGTATCCAGGGTGAAAACATCAATTTTTAATAGCCAGTAATTTTCAGAATATGTTCAGCATGTTGTTTTATGCAGCATGATCTAATAAACTTATATATGAGGAAAAAGACGATTTAGTTACCCTGAGGTGCTGTATTTCCTTCATCCCAGTCAGCTGGTACTGTTTGGGCTGTTATTTCTGAGACTGTAAACAGACTGGGAAAGGCAGAGGGCTGACCTAGATTCAAAGAAAATAAACCAAATCTCTGCACTTCAACCTATGGATTTTCATAAAACTCTGGGACACTGGGAAGTGTATCAGGAGCTTATAAACACTGAGCATTTACTAACCAGCAACACATAATCTTCTATTTTCAGTCCTGTGGAGTGAGTTTCTCTATCTGCAAGGCCAATGTGTTTTAGGTTAGAACTGGCTTGGTCAGGTGCAAAATGCACAGCACTGTTTTCACTGATTGTCTGATAACTTTACTTACCTTTTTTCCTATGCAAACAGGAGAGCTTCCAAAGCTCTTTTGATTCTATCAGGATGAAATTTAAGATGCAGCTGATGCAGGAGGCCACCTGGCAGTGTAAGTTAGAATTTTAGCTCATAGGAGTATCTTTGATGCAAACACCCCCACGTTGCTGGTAGGAAACCTGCAACTTGCTGCTCTCCAGGTAGTACCACTAGGGAAAAGCTTATGGCAGTTCTCCCTAAGGAAAACAGAAATCTTCCTCCCCAGAGTAACTTTGCTTTTCATAGTTTTGTAACAACTACTCTTTAACTTACCACGGTGAAGAGAAGGTTTTATTTCTGGAGGTCAGAAGGCCCTTTGTTACTGTACCAAAAATAGATTTGGATAAGTTGGGTGGAGTCTGATTAGATCATCAGTTCAGTAATGCCATTTCCTGCACAAAATCAACCAGTTGTACAATTCCATCTCTTCTTTCATATTCAGAATTATGTACAATTACACAGAGCAGTGTAAATGCAGTGAGAGCAGCCAAACAACCTGTGTGTCTTGGTGACATTTCTGTTGCTTTTGGTGGGAACAGTGACACAGGCTCTGACTGATACTGAGCAGTGCCTGCCTTGGTAACACGCAGGTGCTGGCAGAGAGGCTGTTACAGCCAGGATCAAACAGGTTTTTCCCTGAACTGAGAGCTGTTGGAAATATCCAATCCCAGCTAACATTTGAATCTGAGCATATTATTTTTTAATGTCTCAAAACCAAATAAAGCAGTAATAGTGTTTCAAGGCTTCCAGAGGAATAGGGAGTTCACAGCTGGAGGATTTTTCAGAGAGGAGAACCCTGAGAAAAGTTACCAACTCTTCATTTTCAATGGTCACATTAAAGCTTCTCAAACCCGAGCAGCTCAACTGTGATATCAGAAGTCTGAACCTTGCAGGTAACAAAGTCATTTATTTGATGGAATAGAGCTGGATATTGAAGCAGAGATGGTCATCTGGGAATAAGCAAGCTATGACTTTAGAAGTGCTGGTGGTTTGGGGGTTTCTTTTCACTTTTTTGGGGGGGCAGCTCATTTGTGTCAAGGCGATTATGCTCTTGCACTTCCAAATAGTCAAACTCTTGGAGACTTTGTCCATTGACAGCAGAGCTGTGTCTTTTTGTCCAGTTCTCATCCTTGGTAGTTTAGGACTGGAGCACAGTCATCATATCAAGAATGCTATAAAAATAGTTAATTTCTAAATTATTTTCTGTGTGCCACCTTTGTTTCTATTTCTGAAGTTGCACTGAAGCATTTCTAGTTTGTTTTGTTTATTTGTTTGTTTGGTTACATCTTCTGTGTTAAGGTTAAAACCTGATAATTCTTTTGTGTAAGAGCAGAATTTGGTTCCCTTCTGGATGAAATGCAGAAGTGTGAGATGGATCCCAAGGTTTTACAGTAAAAGAATTATGAGAGCATTGCTGTCACCCATGTTTAGTGTGATGAAACAACAGAGAAAAAGCCTTTAATGTGGTCAGTTGGAAAATGGTTTTAAAATCTTCCCATTTCAAGATGGGATACAACTACTGAGTGTAACAAAACCAATTATCTAATCTGTGTGTTTAATGCTTTTGCAGCCAGAGTGGGGAAGACATCACTAATTATGTCTCTTGTCAGTGAAGAATTTCCAGAAGAGGTAGAGCATTCTTATTTGTTTTCTAAGTTTTGTTTCTACCCTGTTGTATAATATTTTTTTTCAAAGAGTAGGTTAATAGGCTCTGCTTTAAAGTAAGGCTTAGAAAAAAATAAAGTTTTCAACTGCAATGATGACTTCAGAAAGAGTGATGTAGGTTTTAATATAAAAGATGCAGTTTAAATACAGAATATTAGAAATTTAAATTTTATCTAAGTTCTCGTTTTTCATATGGTTAATTCAACTGATTGTTTCATATGTGATGAATGTTAGGTTTTTTCAGCAGCTGAAACATTTCAACATGAGAGACTCATAAATGAAGTGCTGAAGGAAGGGAAGGTGCTGAAAGAGGCAAGACCCTCAGTTTTTTGGGGGTGTTGTCTTTAAAGAGCGAGAAGATTGAAAAATTATTGAGAAGGAGGAATTAAAATGTCACATTGTTTAACTTCTCTTTAGCCATTTTTCTGTAACTAAGGAAGACATTGCCTTCACTTCTGCCTTTGAAGAATGTTTTACTGACTCTCTTGAAGTAACAAATGCCAACAACTCTTCCAGCTTTCTTCCAAAACAAAAGTATAGCTAATACTACATATTATTCCTTTAAAAAAGCAGCACATAGCTCTCTGTATGCCACAAAAAGAACAGCAGCTGCTGCAAATAGTCAAGCTTTTTACATATAAACATGTTTATTTCTTCTGATCACAGGTCTTAAAATAGACATCATGTGCTGCTCTTTGAATCTGCTCTGTGCTGTTTAATGCAAATCAGGAGGTTACCACGGCGCAGGAGTGAAGATCAGATTGTTAACATAGCTGAATTTTGTTAACATAACTGAGTTGTGTTAGCATAAGTGAATTTTGTTAACATAATTGAATTTAGTTCCCAGCCTTGCAGGTAAAAAAGAGGTCCAGTTCCTGTTCTTAAACTGCTCAGGGGCCTGTTCCTTTGGCAGGTCATTTGTGGGTGTATTTAATGAATTATTGTTCTCTGTCCACTTCTCAGCTTCTTCCTGCAGTAGAACCTGGAATATTTGTCTAAATTCACATGGAGAGATAAAACATCATTAATACATAGCACAAAATCTGCCTGAAATTACAGAAGCAACTTTTTTAGAAATACTGCATCCCATGAAAACTATTGGAAGGGACCTGCACAATTCCTGCAGAGCAGTCATTGGGTGTGTGACAGGAGCTCCAGGCTTGGAAATAGTGTTCAATATACAGTATATTATATATATATACAGGGTGCTATCAGTAATCATTCTTGAGGGCAATGTGAGCAGAGCCTGAAGCTTTACAAAGAGCCATTCTTGTGGTAATTGGCTTTTCTTTGTTTACTAAAAAATAAGTATCATGAAAGTTCAGTGTCAACAGGTGAAAGGCAATAAGTAGCTGTGCAGGAGATTTTCATTAAAATTAGGTTCAAGTTGATTGTTCCTGAATGTGGATCAGTGTTCTCTGGAAAAAAATGACAATCAGAGCTGGTTTACAACATTTTGCAGAACATGCTTTTTATTAGTATCATGTTTTGCTTTGCAGAAGTTTTCTGAACCTAATATTTAGCACTGTGAGAAGCAAGGAAGTTGTCAGGTTATGATTGTGTTAAAATTGAGCCTTATATTTTGTCTGTCATGTTTGTTTAGGTGTTGGGTAGAGTGAATTTGAGTTTTATAGAAGCAGTCACTGTATGTATCCCTTAACAGCACTACCTTTCTGCAGGAAGTTCCTTAGTAAGTTGACTAATAAATAATGAGAAGGTAACAGTGACTTTCAGTACATTAAAAGAACTCAAAACAAACAAAAATCAAAAGTACTTGAATAACTCAATATGTTGGTTTATTTAAAGCTGACTAATTGGCAGGTATATTGTAGTATATGACTTTTTTTCACTGCCTGGATTATCTTTAAAGGCTCTTTCTTGCTGTTTCTTTACAACCCAAGGTTCCCCCACGAGCTGAGGAAATCACCATTCCAGCTGATGTCACCCCTGAACGAGTGCCAACCCACATAGTGGATTACTCAGGTAGGGACTGCACAGCACCAGCACTGATTTGGTGGGAATTGTTTGTCTGACTCAGCCCCTGGGACAGTCAGGCAGGGATGGGAACAGAGCTCCAGGGAGGAGAAGCCCAGAGTAAAGTAGAGACTAAGTTTGATCACCCCATTGCTTCCTATGTTGCATTTTTTCGTATATTTTAATCTTTAGTGAATAGATCAATAGGTTCACAGTCAAGGTTCATGTGTTATCATAAATCCATGCAGCTGCTGCACAGCTGGAAAAACCCTTGTGCCATTTACTGTGGAAGTTAGGCCGTGTGAACAGGGACCTTCCTGTCCTCTCCCTCCCACCACTGCTGAGGAAACGTCTTTGGTGGGCTGACCTACTTGGAAAAAGAAATAATGCACATCTTTCTTGTTGGACTTGAGCTTAAATTTATGTGGAGTGAGTTCTTCTTCCTGTTGGATGAAGTTTTTCATAGATTCAGTTCACAGAAACTTGGTATCACTGAAAAAAATCATCATCACTAATAAAATTGAATGTGCCATATTCTGATGTAAAAGTTTACGTTGTAGAAGGAAGGGACTGTTGATAAATGTAGGAGAATGCAAACTGTGACTCATTCCAGACAGAACCTCTCTACAAATGTAATTCAAAATAGCAGCTACAAACTTGTGTGCAGCAGACTGTTTCTGTCTTGTAAGTTAATGGACCAATTTCATTATTGTTTTGGCAGAAGCACTCATTAGAGTATTTTATAAAAAGAAGCAAGGCTTTGACCAGGCTGCCTTATGAGCTTATGAAATGCCCTGGTTCAGCTTCAGAAGTTGTTTTATTTTTGTTTGCAAAAATGGTTGGTATTAATGAGTGACTTGTTCTCTTGAATGCAGAAGCAGAACAAAGTGATGAGCAGCTTTACCACGAAATATCACAGGTAAGTGTTTTGTTTTGTGCCCTGTGCTGTAGCAAAGCTTCCTTTATTTAAGAAAAGTAGGTACTGGCACAGCGTTGGTGACTTGAGCTTGAGCTTTGTCCTTCCAAGGGAAATGACAGAACCTAAATGTCTTTTAATCGGCAGGCCAGTTTTGTAAAGAAATAATTTTACCCTGGAAAGATCCATTTTGCTTCTTCCTGTCATGCTGGGCTGTTGCATTTATGAATAGCACAGGAGTCTTGGTAATTTTATCATTCCTTCTGTTGCTTGTTTTCAGTTCTCTCTGAGCACCTTTGCACATGTTCTGTACAGGCTGTCGTGGTGCTGGGTTCCAGTTCTGGCACTCACTTGGGTGCTTCAGTGGAGGCTGCACGTTGTAGCTCTTCACTTTGGGTTTCCTGGTAGGATGGGTCTCTGCAGGCACAAGCTGGGAATGTCACACTGCAGGACAGGCTTTTTGGCACATAGAAATTATTTGGTTTAAGTTATTGTTCGGGCTACAAAGAACTTAAACACGTCAGGGACAGAGTGTTTGACTAATGGTGGGCTGTTCTTACTCTGATGTTATGTGTGGATCTTTATTGTGTCTGTTGCTCCAGAGACTCTGAGCAGTGGAATTCCATGCCTTTCCTTTTTTTTTTCATTTTAGGCAAATGTGATTTGTATAGTATATGCTGTTAACAACAAGAATTCTATTGATAAGGTACAGTAGCACATTTTATCCCATTATTGCTTTAGATGTAACTTGTGCACTGTTAATTGATGCCAAGCTGAAATCCATATTAGACATTCAAAATACCTGGGATGGAGTTTGAGATCAAGTTGTAAAGAGAATGTACAGATGTGTTATTGCTTCTGGTCCGTTTCAACATCTGAGTTTTCAGCCATTTCACTCACCTGAGAAAGTTGCTCATTAATTAACTCCAATTTTTATTTGTTTCCTCCTTTGTTTCTAAATATGTGCCTTCTTGGGAAAGAAGCAGTAGCAGCTGTAGTGGAACTTGTGCACAGTTCAGTCACATTCCATTTGAAAACGTATTTTTCATGTTTGTTTTTGATCCCCCTGTAGGTAACAAGTCGCTGGATCCCCCTCATCAACGAAAGGACAGACAAAGATAGCAGGTGCTTAAGTAAAGATGAGAAGTGTCAATTAGGCTGCACATCGATGGGTGGCATGCACAGTGTTAATTGTTTAAGAAAATCAAATTCTAAACTTAAAGTTTATATAAGAAGGCCAAGCAGCAAGAGATTTAAAGTATGTGGGTCTGTTACATGCGGCAGCAATGTTATTTGTTTTGATTTTCATGGGCAGCTTTTACCAGCTGTGTTTATATTTGGTATGGTATAACTAGTTTTGGCTACACAGCTTTTCTGCTGATGCTGGTTCGTGTACTAACAATGTGATGGGTTGTATTTAACTCGGTGGGGTTTCTATCAACAAGAAGTACAATTCCAAGTGTATATCAAGCCACTTCCCTTAAAACTGCTGGCATTCAGTTTTGCCTCTTGCCTCCAGTGCTATTTAATGACATCATGAAAACAATATAATGGCTTCTGGTGGGAGATAGAATGCTAAATCAAGATAGATCTTTTTATACATCTGTCTTTAAAGCTCTTCATATGTTTTTGGTTTTAGGTTGCCTCTTATATTAGTTGGAAACAAGTCTGATCTAGTGGAGTATAGCAGTATGGAAACTATCCTTCCCATAATGAATCAATATACAGAGATAGAAACGTGTGTAGAGGTATGCAAGACTTTCTCAAGTTAGAACAAGTAACAAAAAATGCATTCTTGCCAAGCATGTAGGGCAACTTTGTAACAGAAAAAGGGATTTATTTTTTTTCCAAATAAAATATTTCAAATAGAAGTAATTATAACAGTGAGTTTATATGTTATTTTTTTCTTTAGGGAAGATTACACTATTGTATAATCAAATGCTACTCTCAGATTCTAATATTTAGAGCCTGTTCACATCCTTGCGTTTAGCAAGGGTTTTAAATTTAATATTAAGCCAGACAGATGTCTGCAAATTAAAAATTGATTGTGTGACAGCAAATTGTAATGGAACTTCATTTATTAATTCCTGAACAGGTACAGGGGTTGGATGTTTGTTTTCTAAACCAACCCTGTACCCACAAGAGGGGGCTCAGTCTTTAAAAAATGGATGCTTACTGAAATTTCAGAAGAAATCACCCAGTAGTCAAGAAACTGAACTAATCAATGTGAGGATTTCTCTTCCAGTGTTCAGCCAAAAACTTGAAGAATATATCTGAGCTATTTTATTATGCACAGAAAGCTGTTCTGCATCCTACAGGTCCTCTGTACTGCCCAGAGGAGAAAGAGGTATTTATACAGAGATTCTCAGAGCAGTTAATTGGGGGGGAGTTAATCACTTTCCTGGTTTTTCTTTTCAGTGGATTTTGCATTTCTTGGTGTGCTGTTACCACCACCCCACCCCCAAAAGTCAGGCATTCTATCCCAGAACCCTGGTGATTGTTTTGTGTTAATCTGACCTGTCTTTCCTCTTGGTTCAAAGCAGTGAGGACAGTTTTTTGTTGCCCCTGTGAACTGCTGAGTGAAAGGAGAAGCTTTGCTAATGGCTTTAAGCCAGATGTAATGTGAACCAAATCATGCCTTCAATTCAGTTCTCCTTTAGATATACATTTCACAGAAACTCCCTTTATTGCAGGGAAAATACTCCAGACTTGGCCTGACTTAAGGGAAAATTTTTCTCTGAGAATCTTGTGAAACTTGGGTAAAAAGGGATAAGAAACAAGTGATGTGGCTGGTTTTGAGGTATCAAGGTGGTTGGCTGAGAGTATTATTTTAAAAGAAACAGTTTCTGGGGCAAATACAAATAGAATCTCTAAATGTATCCCCCCTGTAGTGTTGGGCAGTAGGAAAGTTACTTCAACCCTAAATACTTTGTTAAGCAGAGAACCAGAGAATAACCCTCTTTTGATTTCTTCCATCAGAATCACCTTTATGAGTTAGTAATGTTGTGATAAAATTGTTGTGCTGAAATCTTTTTGGTTTCCCAAACCCAATCTCTGTGTGACCTCTGTGAAGAGAAGAGTCCATCATCACAGTAGTTGTTGGGAGAGAATTGCCAGTGTCTGTTTTCCTTCACTGGAAGGTATCCTAGCAGTTCCTTTGTCCTAGAGATAGTCCATATGCTCAATGCTTTGCCTGGTAGATGAATGAGGCCTGTGAAAATTATCAGTATTTGATGTTTGAAGCCTTCTGAAGCCATTGCTGAGGTGGTGGATAGAGATAGTCTGCTTGTTTAGAAAGAGTTCACTGTAGTTTTAGGCTTATTTAGTTTTGCAAAGCACTGGGATTTCAAGGCCTTTTTTTTCCCCCCGTCCACCAAAAAATGTTTTTGGGGAAAAAATTCATTTAGTTGTTTCTTAAAGTTTGCTGTAGCAGTAAGACTGAATTTAGAGAACTGATTTTTAATTTTTTTTAATGACTAAGTAGTACCACCTTCATCTTGTGAAGAGCTTGAGACTCTTCTAATAATTGAATAGAAAGATATTTAATGTGGAGTAATTGCTTTAAATTTATGGATATAAATTTGCTGTGTCAGATTTTTATATTAAGAATTTTTGTGTACATGTGTATGAATGTCTCCGTTCTAAAACTGTAAATGGAGACAAAAGTTTCCATGCGATTGGGCTGCCTGGTATCATTCAGTGTGATCTTTTTACATTCAAGCCTGGAAAGATACTGAACTTTCTTTTATTCCTTAGATGAAACCTGCCTGTATCAAAGCCCTCACTCGCATTTTTAGAATTTCTGATCAGGATAACGATGGCACTCTCAATGATGCAGAGCTCAACTTCTTCCAGGTACCTCTTCTGCTTATTTTTTCATGATACTTTATAGTTTAAGTATAAAATTCCATTAAAAACCTGTTTTTTTTCTTAAAGAAATAATAGTAAGGTGACCTGTAAGGGAATCAGGCCTAAGCATTAAGTCTCAAGTGCAGCATAGAAGAGCAGATTTGTAAAAACAGAAATGGTATTATTTTTATTTCTAACCATTGTTCAAGTTTTAGTTCAAGAGCAAAATAAAAGAATCTATTAATTATTTTATTTTAAAAATAAAATACAATTTGTACACCTTTATTTCCACTAAGAAATGGGATTGTCCTTAACTGGCTTATCAGAAGGTTTAAGGCTGTATTTCAGACAGGACATGCTGTTTGTCAGCTCAGTAGCCAGTGGTTCTAATGTGCCCTATTTGTTTTTTTGTTAGAGAATTTGTTTTAATACACCACTGGCACCTCAAGCTTTGGAAGATGTAAAGAATGTAGTCAGGAAAAACCTAAGTGATGGAGTTGCAGATAATGGGTTGACATTAAAAGGTAAGTCTTAGTTAATTCTTAAAAAAATGTGTCTTTATACATTTGATAATCATTCTTATGCAAAAAAGCTGGTCTTTTGGAACATGATTCTTTCAATCTGCAAGAGCTGAGCTTCCTAAGCAGTGGAATCTCAATGTTCTTTAAGCCCTGGGATGTACCAAACAAAAATGCTCTCCAGTTCTTTGGATCAGCCTTCCCCTCTCCGTGCTCTTGCTAAAGCTCTCTAGTTTGAACTGGGTTTATTTCCATGCAGCTGAGTTCTTCTAAAATGCTGCTGCTGAAAAAAGCAAACAATGACAGAAAGCCAGTTGGGTTGTTTGGAGGAAGCAGTTCCTTGGAGAACACTTTTACAGATCTCATTCCTGAGCCCTCAGTGTGTGTCTGTAATGCTGGAATGTCACCCAGGAGGTTTAAGATCTCACTCTGCCTTTCAAGCTCTTTTTGTTTTCAAGCCTGCTACCGTTTCTATTAAAAACACCTTTAGCAGATAAAGCACTTTGGGGCCTTAAGATTTCCTCATTTGATTTGTAGGTTTTCTTTTTCTACACACCCTTTTCATCCAGCGAGGAAGGCACGAAACAACGTGGACTGTCCTGCGTCGCTTTGGATACGACGATGACTTAGAGCTGACCCCAGAATATTTGTTTCCTCCGTAGGTATCACTTATTTCAGCTCTCTTTTACTTACTTGCATTTAATCTAAGCTGCTCCTGCCTTGGCAGGGGGAAAGGGTTGTAGTGGGTTTATTTAACACGTTGTTACGTTGAGTATCTCCCTTAGTTCATGACCCACCAGCCAAAATCTCCACGTGACTGAACATTACAATGACTGATGTGTCTCTGGTGCCACATCATGAACTGCTCTGTCTCTTCGTAAGAAAGGTGGCAGGAGAAGTTCTTAGTACAAAACTGGAACATAAATCTGAGCAGCTGCTTATTGGACTTGACAGGATTTTCACAGCGCTTGAGATCCTTTGAAAATGCCCAAATTAAAAAGTTGAGATGGACCAATTCTGTGGCTTCTGCTCAAAAATGTAACTGCATCATTTTCTGCTAAAGAAAACCAAACCCCAAAATACAACAAACAAGCAAACCAAGCCAAAATGTGATTACTATAGATCTGTATATCATGTAATATAAAGGCACTCATTCGTCATTGTACTTTGGTCTCTTTTAAGACTAATTATTAAAGTTAAATGCAAAGCTCAGAGGCCAAGTGTTATAATTCAAAAAGTATGAATTTTGAGTTTTAATATTCTATATTTCATAAACACAAAAATTTAACACTTCTTGTATTTGTTTCTGTTTTCAAAAACAGCCTAAAAATTCCCCCGGACTGCACAACAGAACTAAATCATCATGCATACTTGTTCCTTCAAAGTATTTTTGATAAACATGATTTGGTAAGCTTTTAATTTTACTCTGTGCGTGTGCCCTTGTGCTTAAGAGCCTTACTTTACCAGCAGTTTTGCTATCAAAAAATTTGTCATTATGTACTTTTATTCAGAAACTGGCTTTAGCTTGAGCTATGCAGAACCAGCCTGCTGCTTATGATTGTCTACAGGGAATGTTAGTTGGCAGTTACAGCTGTACAACCAAATGGTTTTTAACTAGCTGATGCCTAGTTTTGTTTAAAAACAAGAAAGAACAATGATTAAAAAGAAAGCAGCTCGGTTCCTTACAACCAGTTTCTTGACTCTTGGAAGTATAGGGCAAGAAAATCCCAGTTTAATGAATTAAGTGAATTATGTCTGATATGGTGGGTTTGTTTCAGGACAGAGATTGTGCTTTGTCTCCTGATGAACTGAAAGATTTGTTCAAAGTCTTCCCTTACATGCCATGGGGCCCTGATGTGAACAACACAGTTTGTACAAATGAGAGGGGATGGATCACATACCAAGGGTTTCTCTCTCAGTGGACGTGAGTGTGACACACGACATTTTGTACTTGAGAAACTTAGAGATGATTATTTTGGTTTGTAGATTCCTCTTCAAAAAACTAGTAGAAAGAGTGTAAGTTTAATAGTTTTGACAAGCAGTCAAGTTTTTATAGCCATCCAGTGGTCTGATCTTCAGATAATTGTTATAACCTGTTGAGGATTTGGCCAGTATTTAGTGTTAACAATGAAGAAGTGTCTCTCCAAGATGTGGAAATCTCCCTGACACTTGTTGAAGTGTTATTTCTGTTGTTTACTCCTTTGAGGTGGTTTGAATAATGGTGTTCAGTAATGAGGGTTTTTCTCCAAAACAGGGAAAATGAGGAAAACATTGTTTGGGGAGGAAAAAAAATACAGTGTTGGTTGATAGGCCTCAGCCAGTACTGTCCTTGTGGTGTTTGGTGACCAGTACTGCTGGTAAAGTTGTCACCATTTACCTTCAGAGGCTTTTGCCCTTCAGTTCTGCATGGTGCCAGGAATGTGTTATGTCAGTCTGGAGACAGGAGGGAAATTTAGCTTCAGGAAGGAATTGGTACCACAGATGCTGGCAGTTGAAGGCTCTTTCTGTCCCCTCTGCCAGACTAACCACGTACCTGGATGTGCAGCGTTGCCTGGAGTACCTGGGTTATTTAGGGTACTCCATACTTGCAGAACAAGAATCTCAAGCATCAGCAATTACAGGTAACAAAACTTTGATACAACTTAGACATTTAAATTTAGAAATATGCTAAAGAGTAAATCATGTAATGGTTCATCTGGTTTCACTTATTCTCCTTCTCTTTCTGTTCAAATGAAACCCTTGATTTGATTTTTTGAGGGATCGTTTTGTGTGCATTTTATTCTTTCACATTTTCACATGCACATGCACGTACATCTTGTGAAAAACGTTTGTGTTTTTTCAAAAGTGACAAGAGACAAAAAGATAGACCTGCAGAAAAAACAGACTCAGCGAAACGTCTTCCGCTGCAACGTTGTTGGGATGAAGGGCTGTGGGAAGGGTGGAGTTCTCCAGGCTCTGCTTGGAAGAAATCTAATGGTAAGAACCCTGTTGCTTATACTCACCTATATATGTTCTGGAGCTGAGACTAGACAGCAATTGGTCTTAAAGCTTTATTGGTTATTACTGAGTTTGGAGAGTTCTTTGAGGGAATATAGAATTACTAGGGAGGGGGTTATTTGGGATTTTTTTTGGTTTTGTTCTTTTTTGGCAGAGGCTGTTCGATGCAATAATGACTTGTACATCATGGATTATAGCTATGCAAAATAAACCAAAGATACTGTAGTTTTCACTCATTAATAAATGGAGTAAAACAGCTGTTCAAGTCTAACTTAAAGGGAAAAGTTGCTGTGGTCTAACACAAAATTCTGGCTTTTCAGAGACAGAGGCAAATCCGTGCAGAACACAAATCTTACTATGCCATTAATACAGTCTATGTATATGGACAGGAAAAATACTTGCTGGTAAGTAATACTTGCCTTGTTCTTGTGCTGTGATTAGGATGGCTAATGTTAATATTCAGTGGGAGAAATAAATTCTTTAAAGCTTGTTCCACTCGAGTTTTCCTTTATGATAATATGATCTCTCTCTTTGTTTTCCAAGATCTAGTCCTCTACGGTTTTCCTCTGTAGGATAAATGCCCTTTTCTATGGGTGTCTAAGACTTTGTGTTAAAGTAAATCTCACTTTTCATGCTGAGGCTGGGATTGCCTGCAGATGTGATGTTAACAGCTCTCATGTGCTGCCTGCATGGCAAATTCCTACTACTCTTTTTCACTGGCTCTTCCTACTGTCAGTCCATTAGTTCTAAGGATACATAAAAATGAGCTATAAAAACTATGAGGAAGAAAAGTTACAAAATTCCTTTAGCTGCATAATGACAAGCTTTTCTCCCTCTGCAACCCTGTTCTTCCAGCTACATGATGTCAGTGACTCAGACTTTTTAACTGATGCTGAGACCGTCTGCGACGCTGTCTGCCTGGTGTATGATGTCAGTAACCCCAAATCCTTTGAGTACTGTGCCAGGATTTTTAAGGTTTGTAGAGTTTACATTTCTGTATCTTCTCACTGACTAAATATTCAGTGTCAGTTACTGGTCCTGTACACTGGTTTTAGTGCTTAAAAGACATTTTATTTACAAGTGCTGGTTTGTGCATTAATGGTGCAGTTCAGTTATTCATACAAAGCTAAATCTACTGTTCTGCTTCTAGAACTGCTTCATTTCAGTAAAAGTAATATATCTTCATGCTGCTGCAGCCAGTTCAGTGCAGCCTGTTCCAGGCTGAATGTGTCACACAGTGTCTCTCACTGGTTTTCCTTTCCATTTGCAGCAGCACTTCATGGACAGCAGAATACCATGTTTAGTGGTAGCTGCCAAGTCCGACTTGCATGAAGTTAGACAGGAATATAGTATTTCTCCTGCTGAATTCTGCAAAAAACACAAAATGCCTCCACCTCAAGCCTTCACGTGTAACACTGCTGATGTGCCCAGTAAGGATATCTTTGTGAAGCTGACGACGATGGCAATGTATCCGTAAGTCCTGGGGCTGTGCTGCTGTCCCTGTGCATGGGCCACGCTCAGAACCACTGCATGTCATCGTGAGCCACAGCAGGGAACTGCCTCACTCAGGTTTAGCAACAGAGTGACTTGAGTAGAATCTTCAAATTACCTCAAATTGCGAAAGCTGGCACGTATCCAACACACGAATCACTCCCAGCTATGGTTGCCAAGGTGTTTTTTGAGGAATACACTGGTTCATCCAGCTCACGTTGCAAATTCCAATGTAGGATTCTTTTTGGTCCTTAATGTGCATACAAAACTCAGGATATCATTTTCCTGTCTTGGTATATTTGAGATATTAATGAATGAGTTGTACTGTAATCCTTGTTAATAGACCAACTTGACGGTTGATTACAACTAATGTCACCTTAGTGCCCAACAGTTCCCCCACTGCCCTGCTCGAAGTATTTTTTATTTTCAGGGTGTTTATTGCTATGTGCTTCAGTTCATTAATCTAATAAATATTATAGTTTTAATAGAATTTCTGTATAAACACCTTTGGACTTCAGATGCAAGATACTTGAGTGCAGATTCTCCTTCACATCTCACTGTTGCTAAGCTCACTTTGCATCTCTTTTTTTTGGTGGGTGGAGCTTTTAATATGGTGATGAACTACATAAATATTACAGCAGATGGAGTCTAGTATGACAGCTGACATTTGCTTTAAATTAAATAGAAGTAATGTCTCTTTCACCTAAAATAATATGGTGTTCTTAATTGTTTGAAACTGGATTTATTGAGTTAGACTTGTAAAGCTTTAGTTTGGGCTTTTTTTCTCTTGTATTTGTTTTGTAGCACTGGAATACTGGGAAACCACTTAAGTATAGCACTGCCCAAATGTCTGTCATATCAATATTCCTGCTTCTCCCTTAGTTTTCAAGCATGTTGTGTTTGTTAGGGTGGGAAAAATAGGGGCAACTGTCACCTTGTAAAGTGTGCAAAGGGGTAGAAAATGTGGCTTCCTTTCCTTTGAAAAAGGGGTGTTACCTATTGCTGTGCAGACATACTCAGAAGCCTTTAAATGCTCTCCTTACAAACTTGGGATAAATTCATCAACATTCTCCCCCTGTTTGTGCTCTGACTGAGATCTGAGCACGGTGGTGACGCCAAATCCTCCGAGGCGTGGAACCTCTGCCCGCGAGCTCTGCACAGCTGTAGTTGTACCCTTTTGCTCCCCGGTGTATTTTTTTTTTCCCCCTCCTCCTCTCCTTCCTCATTCAAATGTACCTTTTATTCCTGACTCTCTCTTGGTTGTGGCACAGCCCTAATGTGCAGCTGATTCGATGAGCAAGATTTCACCTGCTGTCCTTCTGTGTGTCTCCGCAGCCATGCCCGGTTACGCTGTATGTGCGCCTGCAACAGGTGTACATTTTGCATCTGTCAGAACTTCCTCAACTCAGACTTGCTGCAATCTGTAAAGAACAAACTCTTCACTGCAGTTCTTAACAGGTCCTTAACTTTATTTACTAGGTACCAGGTGTGCTTTGAAAAAAATAAAGGGTTTGTTGGTTGGTTTTTTTTTCCGAAAAAGCAGATGGGAACCTTATATACTGCAGGTTTTCCACTCCATATCCACTGAAGAGGCAGATACTTTAATAATGGTCATAGAATTGTCAGACTTTAACTTGAAGGTACTTTTGAGCTTAGTCCAGTGATTTTTTTGATTTATTTTTTTTTTAACATTACCAATTTGGTAGTTGATTCAGGTTCTTAGTGATTGCAAAAATACTGTGGAGGAATTAGGACTGTGTCTTTAGGGAACTGCTAATGGACATTAAGTAGTGTCTACAAATCTGTGTAATGTTTCTCACTTGAGAATTCTCACTTGAGAATAAACAAACATTACAGGTTTGTTCAGTATTGATTAGAGGTAGTGCCTTTTAGATACCAATTACACAGATATTTTCATAAAGGCACAGCTTGACTTACAGCAGCATCGTGTAACTTTAATTACATGTTTATAATTGCTAGTTTGATATTTGGGAATTCATAGGATTTCTGTGTGTGTGTGTGTTATGCTTGGTTTACACAAAGAGTGAATATTTTGTGTTAAATAATCCAGATCTTTTAACATCCAAATCCTCTCTGAATGGAATGCAACATGTGAGAAGTGGTAAATGCTGAAACATTTGCATTTCCAGGCAGTTGGGAAAAACAATGGGTAAAGAGAGATAACTGGTTTTCAGCATTGAAAACAGTGCTATAGCTTGTCCTGTGTGTACTGCAGGCAGTTTTGGACACATGATTTACTAACACTCAGCACTTGCCATCACACCCCAGCAAATGGGAGTTCAAACCCAACAATTGTTGCAGGGCAGTGGTTCCATTATCCATGACCTTCTTGGAGGCTTAGATGGTAAATGTGTGTATTGAAGGCCGTGGTTAGAATATCCTGACATGCTGCTGGTCCCTGTGTGTTACTACTTCTTATGGGTTTCAGATGTAGCTGCTCCAAATAAGAGTGTCTGTCTCCTTTAAATTCAAGTTACACACACGTGGGAGGGCTGCTGATACACCCACCTATAGGATTGAGTATGTGAAATACAGCTTTAATCCAAGATAAAAGTGTTAACCACAGAGTGAGAATTCAAAGAAGGGTGAAAAACTTCCTAGCTTGGGAGAAGACTGACTGAGTGAGGCTGTTGGTGCTGCACCTCTTCTCCAGCAGTCATCCCGTGGGCAGAAATCCCCTGGAACAGCATCTCCTTGCATATTGAAACTTCATTGGGCAGTCACTGCTAGGAAATGCCAGCTCTTCATTACTGAGGCTGAGATCACCTCTGTAACACATCTCCATTTTTTGGAATGGTTATGGGCTGCTCCATTGGCTGTCATGGCTTGTTTCTCTCTTTATGGGCCCGTGGGGTTTTTGAGTCCTGCATTAAACACTGAACTTTGTTCCTCTGAAATCCTGTCAGGGACTGGAGGTACTGAAACTTTTTAATGGGAAGCTTTGGGATGCTGTCATTCCACACCTTATCACTAGGGAGTGTGGAATAAATGCAGGAATCTACTGCCTAAAAAGTCTGTAATTCAAAGTAAAGAGAATTCCTCACAGCCACTTCCCTTTGTCTCTAGTCATTCAGTCAGGCACTTGGGGCTTGGTGCAGGTTTCCAGCACGCTCACTTCATCTCACCAGCTCTTACCAACACCTTGCTGCAGGTTATTCACCATTCAGCACATGAACTGCTGCACAGCTGCATTTATAGTAGAGCTGAAATAACTGTAAAAAAGAGGGAATAGCTCCCACTTGTAGACTTAGGAGGGTAGAGGTGGATTTCTTGTTTAAAAATGATAGATTTTTTTTAATCTAATGATGTGTGATTAGATTAGAGAAAGCATTTGGATCAAGAAGGACTTTCTGATGCAGTTACTTTCTGTAACTTCTCTTATTTTGCTTTCACAAGTGCTTACATTAGGTCAGGTAGTTGGACAAATGTTAGATAACTGATGGGTGAAGGAGGTTTCTCAAGAGTACTTTATTCTTCTGGTCCCTTCCTATTTTGAAGCTTGAAGCAGTGGAAGCTTTTCAGGTAAACTGAATTTTTTCACATTGGACTCCTTCCTGAGTTATTTGTTGCTAAGTAACCCTTAAACACTATTAAGGCAAAATATGATATCATATTTGAATAGCCCCACCTTAGTAGTTGAAGAAAGAACATTGTCTCTGTGCATCTGAGCAAGCTGTTCCTGCCCACCCTCAGTTCCTCCTCTCTGGACAAACAGAGGCTCTCCCAGGGTTTGGAGGCTCAGGAAGGGCAGCTCAGCTTGGAGATGTTCATTGTGCAGGACTGGGATTGTTGGGTTGAACTGCCCAGGATCACTCTTGGCTGGTCCTTGGAGGCTCAGGAAGGCCCTGCATTCAGAGCACTCCACGTGCATGTCTGAGCCTTGGGACTATCCTGTAGTACTTTCATATCTTTCATTTGTTCCTTCCTTTAGGTGTTCATTTGTATTTGTCTGGCTGGCACTTAATCTCTTTTTACTACATTGTTTTACCTCTTTTTAAAAGCAAGGTTTCTGCTTTTATCATTCTAACCCTTTCTTTAATGATGAGCTTGGATTTTTGTCTTCCTTTTTTTCCCTTGGTTTTCAATCATTCATGTTGCCTTTTGCTTGTACAGTAGTGGCATTTTTCTGTCAGCTAAGTTCATTTCAAAATAAAATAATCCTCATGCATGAGAGTTGCTTTGTTCAGTGAGGAGACTTCTCAGAGCATGCTTTTCTTCTAAAGTTTTTAAAATACTGTGGAATTGAAGTGAAATTCTTCTTGCATATAAAACCTGGTTGTTTCGGGAATTATTAGTGAGGTTTTGCTTTCTATGAAAACCTTCCTCCTGTGAAATCAAAGTTGAGACAATCCTTTCATTTTCCTGTAATAATGGGAAAGTTCTCAGAGCATAAACTGGGGTTTATTTTTCACTGTGTGCAGTGTAGGCAGATTATTTTTCAAAACCGTGTATATTGCCATTAAATCTAATAGCAGAAATCTCTCCCTACACTGAGGTGCCCCTCAAATTAGGACAGTATAATGATGTTTTCTTACCTGTTTTCCTCCTGCTCCAAACTGTTCAATGCCCCAGCCTGTGTAGGAACTTGCAGAGCTGCATCCTCTAATTTCTTTCTGAATAGACCTCATTGAATTGGATTTGACATCCTTTTTGGGGTTTTGTAGATAATAAGATGCATTTGGAGCCTTTCATATTTTAGATGATTAATGCATGGGGGGAATTCTGGCTGCTGGAGCTGCTTTGCATCCTAGGAAAATGTGTGCCTGGAGGGCAGCTGCAGCAGCCTGTGCATGTTACGTGGTGCCTTTTGGAATTCAGTTGCTCATATTTTATTGTGACCCTTTGTCTGTCAGAGCTGCTGCTGCTGCATGAACTGGCTTTTAGTTTTGGTGTGAGCAGCCTGCTGGCCTCACCTCTGTGCTTCTGAAATGCTTTGGAAGTTACTACAGGAATGGTTCTGAACTTCTGTAGTTAAGGATAAACCTTCCCAGACCTGGGATTCTTCTGCTGCTGACTCAGGGAGAAGTGTCAGTGCTGACCCCTAACTCAGCAGTCCTCTGTGTGCCCATGGCAGCCATGCTCAGCTAATTAACCTCTTAATCAGTGCATGTGGCAAACTAACTGGGAGTTGGTGAAGTCTCTTGAGTGAAAGACTGTTCAGATTTCAAAGATCTTATTCAACAAGTGACAAGATACTTGACTCACTGTTAAGGGTAGGTTGAATTAAAATGTCTTTTTTTTTCCCACCCTCAAAAAAATGTGCATTAAAATCTGAATTTTACACCACAGGCAAAAATTGTAGACTTTCTTATATTTGTGGAACTCATTGTTTGATTAAGTACACAGAGCAATCTGTCTGGGAAGCCCATTATTATTACTAATAAGCAATAGTTTCAAATACAGCTTCACTTACAGAGTTCTGACTACTCTGTGTGTCTACAATTGCACATCTATATATATGATTTACTCTTAGAGACAATAATTTTTCTAATTCAGAGTTACTCACTAACAAGGCAGTAACAGTTTCTACCAGCAGTGAAAAATAATTTCCTAAGCACAACTAGACTGAAATAAAGTTTGAACATGATTTTTTGAAGAGGTAGCATTTTTCAGTGTGTATTGAAAAAAGTTTTTCTGCATTGTAACCACCTTCATGTCAAAGAACCTGTGCTGGAAACAAATATTGATCCTTTTTTTTTGTTATCTCAGGTTTGTTGTGTTCCTTTAATGGCAGCTAAACAATGTTAGGGATCAAAACTGTAAAAATGGATTTTATGACAGCAGAAGGAACACTGAAAGAAGAAAAATTGGAATTTTTTCAAAGCTGTGAAGCAGTTAGACATCCAGAGTGTTCTGAATTTCAGTGAGCAGTTCTGAACTTGGATTTTTGGACTGAGATGTTCAGAGGTCCCCAGTCATTCCTTACTGAAGTCAGTAGATTTCTTGGAGGTTGTAAGAAAGTCCCTGTCTCCATTTAGTCCCTTATTTAAATGGAAGAGTCTGTTGTTGTCAGGCTTAGAAAAGGGATCAAAGCCAATTTGCTCTCTCTTTAGACGTTACAAGAGCATTTTATCATGACTGAGAATATATTAATTGCTTTTGGAAGGATAAAGCATGCTCAGCAAGTTTCTTGCATGCCATTAAATATGGACATGTGCAGAAGTCAGAACAAGGCAAATTATAGATAGGAATCTGAAAATCTACCTGTGAGAGATAGTGCTTTGTGAGGCAATGCAAAAGCATTCATTTGCAATTTAAACATTGATTTGCACATTTAAATTGAAGTTTTTTTTAAATTATGCAAATAGCTGGGCATTTGAATTAACCAAATTAAACTGGAGACTTGTTGGTTATACAAATACTCATCCAGCAGAGCTTGTCACATAATCTCTTAAAATCACGTTACATACAAGTGATTTATTTTACATACACAGATAAGCTTTATAACTTACAGATCTGAAGACGAGGATTGTACAGCCTTTTACTAAAAAAGAAACTCAGACCAGCACATATAGTGATAAAATACGTGCACAGCATTTTATCCCAGTATGGGATCTTGTCGGATTTGGGGCTGATGTGTTGGAGTCATTCCAGTGTTTTTAGCACAGGTGCTCCTGCATATGGTGCAGGAATGTTGCAGTGTCCTGTGGACACCAGAAAGTTGAGGCTGTGGAGGTGGAGTGGGGAGAGAGATTCAGTTTCTTAGGCAGTTTCCTTTGTCCTTAAAGCAATGGCATGTAGCTGCAGGAAATCATACATTTTACTCAGCTCATCGAAGGAACAAACTCCATTCGTTTCTGTTCTTCCCCCGAGCCCTAAGTTTTAAACAACTGCACGAGAACCAGGGGCTAGGTGGCTAAAAATCCTAAATTCTCTGGGCTTTGTGATTTGAGGATATTTGAGCCAGTTGCTGTTGTGGAGCCCTGCAGTGAAGTGCCCTGTGCATGTGTGTGACAAGGTTAGGAGCCTGCCTGGCTGAGCTGGGGGCCGTGCTGGTAGCAGACCAGGAGAGCAGTGTTATGCAGCAGGTGCACGCCGTCAGCTCTCTAGAAGATTCCATCTTCATGGAGTCATCCCTTGGGCCACGCTTGCTTGAAGACAGGTAACAACACCCAGTCCGAGGTGACCTTGCCATTGCCTTCTCCCTTTCTTCCCCCCAGCAAACCACTTGACATCTAGTTTGTCCAAACTAGCTGTAGAAAAACTAATGCTTGCAGGAATTCTTGGATTTGGTCTGTTCCATAACCCAGCAAGACGTTCTTAAATCAGATTAGGATTTTTTAGAGAGCAGCTGTTGTGCTGTGTGTGCAGCAAAGAGCCTGTTCTTCAGCATGTGTATGACAGAACCCTGATTAACGAAATGGCCGATACTGCTCCTGCCAGTGTCTACTGAATAATATCCCAAACTGGTTTTGTGTAGTTTGGTAGCAAGTAACAATTCCTGTTCTATTAAACAGCTTGTGAGCTCTGCAGTTCTCACTCCATGAACTCCTGTGTGTGCTCAGGATCTCTGTGCTCCTTGCCCTAAACCCTCCTGCAGCTTCACTGAGTAACTTATGGTGATTAACACAGGCTAAAACACGTAGGCTAGTGAAGTTCTGTTCTATCTTAAAAGCAAACAAAAAAATCAACTTTACTGTTGTTTAGGAACTTCCTGGGCTTTGAATGATGGCATTTATGATAACTTGTTTTAAACAGTAGCCCCTGCTCTCTGGTAAGCTGTCATACTTGAGACTGCTGTGAGGGTGGCCAGTGTTTAACTGAGCATGTTCACAGACCTCTTCAGCATTTGGGAGAGTTGGGTCATTGCCTGTCTCTACTGTCATGCAAGATGTGGCTTTTTCTGTCATACAGTCACTCCATACTGTCCTTTTCTGATCATGCCATGGTCACTGCTTGTTTCACTCACACTCTCTCAGCTTTCAGCTTGGTGTTGGATGACTGTTTCTGTTGCTGGTCTTGTGACTACTGGAAAGAAAGGGATTTACAAATGGTCCTTTAATTCTAGCTTTTGGAAAAATATTACTTGCTACTTGTCAGTAAACTTTTTTGGGAGAAGAATAATAAGTAGACATTCAACAGGACTGGGAAGTTTTTCACAGAAAAGCAGCAATATTCAAAGTTTAAAAAAAAAGGGTTTTCCTGGACAGAGTTGTTCTCACTGTGGGTTACTAATTATTTGTAGCTATTTTGGGTTTCCTTTCCTGAATGCTTGCTGGTCCTCCCAAAGGAGACACATGCCCTCCCCACGTCCATGACTGGTGATCTGCCCCTGCATTTCTCCTCAGCCGTGTGGGTGCTGTGCCTGTGAAATGTGCTCAGGGCAGATCAGAGCCGGAGCTTTCCCACAGGTCAGACGCCTGTGCAGTGCTCGTGAGGCTGAGCTGTGAGCTGGCTGCCTGTGACAAGTGTAGTGATGAATTTCCAAAAGCAGAGTAGTTTAGCACGAGTTGTGTGGTGGTGCTGTCGCGGAATTAACCTGGCTTTGTGTGTGTGTGTTGAATTTTAGGCACGTGACACAAGCGGACCTCAAGAGCTCCACGTTCTGGCTCCGAGCAAGTTTTGGTGCTACTGTCTTTGCAGTTCTGGGTTTTGCCATGTACAAAGCACTACTAAAGCAGCGATGATCTGAGAAGAAGCACATCTGGCCCTACCAAATAAATAAATTAAAAAAACCACTTTTATGTACATTCTGAATGCTTTAAATTCTGCTAGAAATATTTATATATGCAGAGTTACTTTATTAATATTTGTAATTCCTGCATAAGATTATTTTAAATTATAGCTCTAACTACAGTATTGCATAATGTGTGGAAAAAAAAAAGGAATTGCATCTTAACAGCCAGGTCAAATGGCTTAACTTGTGAGGCCAAAAGGGAATTTGTTGTAAATAACCTGTATATATTAAAGCAAGTAAGACATTGCTTCCCAAAAACCGATTCAAACTACTGTTCTTAGATGTCCACCATGGTGACATTCTAGTGTATAGGTGAAATTAATTTTCAGTAGAGTAGAGTCAACTCAAGGATCAGACTTCCTCAAGGATTGCTTATTTATTTCACATCCATCTGAGGTGACTTCATCTTTTTGGACTATAAGCTATACCAGGCAGAATTTGTGATTTTCATTCATATTTTTAACTGATGAACAAATTTTCCCCTCTAATTATGTATTTCAAGAAAAACTCACCTTTGCTGTCCTGGCCTATGATTTTGTATTTTACGTGACCAGCGACATGTTTAGAGTCTGGTTTTTCTTTTAAAAGGAAAAACATGAACTTCAAAAACTGCCAGATCAACTTCATCTGCTGTGTGTGATCTGTTTTTCATTCTCCACTCTGTTGTGTTTTATAGCCCCTATGAATCAGACGAGCAAATTTGTATGTTCTAAATGTTTCTAATTCGGAAAGTGTTGCAGTTTAATTTCTCGCATCTGTCAGTCATAGCCCTTGAAAGCTGTGTATAAAGAACACACTAGTACACAGTGCCTATTCTACTGTAGGGTATTAGTTGCATGGATCACAGTGCATTCTGTACCGGGCTAGAATTACATATAGACACAGCTTTTTTAACGATCAAGTAAAACAAACATTAATTCCTCATGACAAACCTATTTTTCCATTGCTGGCCTTTTCAAGTATTTCAATAAAATAACTGTGTACTGTGTTTGTGTGTATCTTCTTTTTCTTTCCCTTCCTCTGCCCTTAAAAAGAGGAGTTTAACAAAACTTTGTCCTTTATGTGAGAGGCTCTGGGTGCCCTCAGTGCCTGGAGGTGACACGTCTCGGCTCTGTGGTTTCTCTCATCCTTCTCATGACTGTGCTGCCTCCACTAGAGGTTTATTTCTAATTTATACCAGACCAAAGTGACTTCTGTGATACTCGACGGCTGAAATACCGACAGTCGACCGTGAACTTTGTTATTTGCAATTCAACAAGCGCCGGCAGTGCCGCGTTCCCGGGGAGCTGGGAGGATTCCCGGGACTCTCCGGAGGGACCTTCCCGAGGGATCCCAGGGACTCAGGGAGGAGCCGGGAGCGGCCGCCAGGGGGCGCTGCCGCCGAGCGGACGGGCCCGGCGGGAGCGGGAAACGCTCCCGTCCTCCCGAACACCGGCGGGATCGGGATCGGGATCTGCTCTGCGGAACACCCCCATCAGCCCGGGACCGGCGCTCGGAGCCCGGCGGGGAGCGGGTTCTGCCGGTCGGCGGCTGCCCGGCCGCCCCACGAGGCCCTGAGGGAGGCGCGGGAACCGCCCCCGCCCTGAGGGGCCGCCCGCCCTCACGGCCCCGCGCCCCGCCCGCGCAGGTGAGGGACGGAGCGCAGCACCGCCGGCGGTGATAAAACAGCCCTTCTCCGTGCGTTTGGGGTGAGGAATTTGCCTAGGGAAGAGACGCAGGTTTTGGTGTCCAGCTCTGCTGCGGCCCCGCTCGGGCGGGCGGTGTTCTCTGAGGCAGCCCCAGGTAAGAGCCACGATGTCCCTGTGCCGCTGGCCAAGCCCTCCCGGATCCTGTGAGGGTTCTAGTCACCGTAAGGGAAACTGTTCTACTCATGGAGCGCATAAAGAAGAAAGTCCAAAAAGTCGAGCTGTTGCTCTTAAGTGCTGGGGAGAAGGAGCAGCAGCCCAGTCCCTTCACTCTTAGCAGATTTGTTTTCTTTCCTCTGGTCCTGTAGGGTTTCCTAACAACTTCTTTCATTGTATTTTCCACAACCAGACTCCATCTCAGTTCAGTCTGATGCATGAGTTGCCTTGTCATGATGTAAAGTCACTCAGAGGACAAAGACCTTGATTATTTTTCCTTGGAGACACATCTTTCACCCCTTGGCTTTGACCTCCGGTCTGAAAGCTTGTCAGTTCAGGAATTATAGTAAGCAAGATTTGATTTTATGTTGGAAATTAACCTTGAATTACTAATTGGTCTCCATTTCAAATAGTTCTTTTGATTCAGAATGAACCTGTGCTGTGATCCCATCAGGTAACATTAAAAAGGGGCAGAGATACATTTTAAATACCCTAAAGGTATTAGGGTATTATTTAAATAAATGTATTATTTAAATACCCCTAAAGGGTATTTAAAAGGAGGGCTCCCTTTTAAGACAACTACCCCAAAAAAGGACTAATAGCAGATTTAATTATTTCCCCAGCTATAACCAAAAAGACAATTAGAACCAGCTGCAACCAATAACAGCTACTGGGGCAGAAGAGAGCTGCAGGTGGAAAGGCTAGAGCCTGCTTTTCAGTGCTAGACTTGAAAAAGCTTTAAGTAGAACATGGGGAATAGGCAGGGTCAGGAGGACAGGCTTTCAACACAAGTTAGAAATCAGACAAGAGGTTGGATGTTATTTTTTCCCACTATTCCTTCTCTTCAGGAGGGAAAGTATCCATGAGTCATAGAGAAGCCAAAAGGCAGCACATAGAGTCTAATTCGTATTGATTCTAAACCTGTGTTGTCCCAGCACTGATGCTCAAAGAGGCCTTTGCCACTGTTACCTTTTGGACTCAGTTTAAACCCCAATCTCAAACCATCCGTGATTTTTAAAGATTTTTAGCCGTTTTCATGAGCCTGAAGGGGTTAATCTGACAGGTCTGATCCGGTCCCAGCTGTGTATGTGCTGCCTTATTTCTTCCTGGGGTGGTGTTTGGGTGCAGCATTTTGGGTTTCTGATCCCAAATACCTCATTTTCCTTCCTCCCAGGGCTGGCTGGGCTGAACTCTGATACGGAAATCAAGCTGGGTAGGTTGCTCCATGTAGCTCCAGTTGTGAGAGCTGGGCAGTTTTGTGAAAGCCCCTTGGGGCTACTTTGAGTGGAAAAAGGACCTGTGAACAAACTGTTCAGGTTTGTTCCAGGAGGCTTAGCTAGCAGATGTTGGCTGAGTCCCTACTTTGAGGGGTTTTTATTGCATATTCATGAGCTGACCTTTTTAGCCACTTCCAATGCAGGAAGGATATATATCTACATTTTCTTTGTAGTATTTCGAATATAAAAGGTTGCCTACGTTACTGAATGTGAAAATGGAGTAGGTTTTATAATCTCAAGTTCTTTCTGTCTCAGTTTGTTCTGAAGCCCTTCCATGTTCTGTCTGCATCTGCTCTGGGGTGCCCCCAGCTCCCCAGTTTCTCTAGCAATTACTGTTTTCCAAGGTAGAGTCACCAGGGTATGCAGTGGGGAGAAATGACGTTCTAAATTAAGAGGCTCTCACAGACTTGCAAGATGATAATTTGTCTGTAACAAAACTCCTCATTAGAATACTGTTAATTTCCTTTCTGTGATGATTATAGCACAGCACTAGCTCATATGTGCAATGTGCAGAGACATTTCCCTGAAAAAAAACCCAAATTATCATTACCACTAGTGAAAAACATTCCTCAGAGGAGAAAAATGAACTTGTAATTCTGCAGCAGTTTTCCAGTTTAGTGGGAGTTTGGTGTTAAGGTAAGGTTTTGGGGGTTCTCCCTGTTGTTGATTGCACTCATGTTACACTTCATGGTTGGCATTTTCCCACCAGCATCTGGAATCAGAGACAATACAGTCCCCAACTGTGTGGAACCTGTTACCCCTGAAATTCAGCTCATTTATTCTCTCTTTGCTTTAAAAACTCGCTTCCCTCCTCCCTACAGACATCTTTAAATGATTGCTGTTTCTCTCTGTTGGCATAGCATATTTTTGCTTATCCATCTGTTTTGAAGTTTTGATGAGGTTCAGTTTTTGAGTCAAAAAGAGATTGTTTTTATAATAGCTGCTTAGTGCCTGGAATATTTTGGCAGGGGTGGTGTTGTATGAGTGAAGTGGGTTAGTGTTTCTCAGAAGTGCTGGATTTGGTCTCCTGTTCTTATGCTTTGGGAGAGCAGGCTGGACAGACGAGGCAGAAGTGGATGCCGTGCTCAAGGTGATGGTCCTTAAGGGGCAGAACCTCTCCTGTTCATCAGTTGCGCTGGAGACCCCAGAAGAGCTTTTATTTTGTTGTCATTTTCCCGCCTGAATCCTGAGGTAGAAAAGTTGTGCTCTTCGGGTCCAAAGGTCGTGGTTTTACTTCTTTGCTTCGCTTCTGCGGGATGGAAAATCCTATTCCTTTTCCAGAGGTATTCCAGCTGCATTTGGTTTTAATTGTTGTTGTCGTCGTCTGTTTTTTAAACAAATTTGTATAGAAAAGATGGACTTGTAGCTTGGTTCTGTCCTTATGGCTGAGCTGTGGCTGAGCTGGTTTTGGACCTTTGCACCCAGAAAACGTGGCCTGTGGTGCTGGACCCTCTCTCTGTTCTGGCTCTGTCTGGCTGTGGCTGTCGGTGCAGCAGCAAGCAGAGGCACTGGCACCATGTGGCTCAGCCCGGCTCTGCTCGCCCTTCCCCCTTGCCGACCTGCTATTTCTGTGCTTCATTGGAAGAAGCTAAAACTGCTGGATTTCTGCCTGCAGTCAGGGCATTCCTCAAGTTCCTAATCCGGGCTCCAGATGGTTAAGTTACCCATCCTGGCATACAGGAACGAGTCGTTACGGTAAAAGATGTAAAACCCCACACCAGCCCCTCACGGTGGGACTCTCCGGGAGGGAGAAGTTACCTGGTCACCTGCCCGCGGGCAGGACCGGGCTGGGACCGGCCCAGGGGCTGCCCGGCGCTGGGCACGGCCGATCCTCGGCGGGTCGCCCCGGGGGAGGCGGTGAAGGAACCCCCGGCGCTGCTCCCCCGGCGCTGCTC